CTGTTGTGAGGGTTAAGTGAGGAAGCATATGCCAAGTACCTGGCATGTGGTAGGTGCTTAATAAAGGGAAATTATTGTCCTCATAACCAGGCACCCACACTTCAATTTTTGGCTACTTTCTAAGTTACATTCTGTTATCCTGACAAAGAATAGTGGAGGAGTTTATAAGATAAGAGTAGCACTATTTTAAAAACAAAAACAAACAAACTGATAAAAATGAATTGAATGGCCAAGGCAATTTTGCAAGCACTTAATCTAGTTCAGGGATCATTAAATTGATACCTTGTGGGCCAAAGCCAGCCACGCCTCTTTATTTACTTATTGTCTGGAATTGTTTTACCACAACAAAGATCAAATAGCCCACTAAGTCAAAAAAATATTTACTCTCTGGTCCTTTACAGAAGTTCGCTGATACTTGATTTCAGTCCATCAATTCTCAGTGTGGTCCATCAACCCAATGACGTAATATTCATACATCATTGACCTTTTTCACTGTGTTAACATTTGCACGATAACAAAAACAATGACTGGTAAAACTGCTAGTACCTTAGCACAAATCAAGACAATGGCAACGAAATATACTCATAGCTGTATTCTTCACCTCCAAGTACTCGCAGCAGGAGAGAAAAGCCAGTTTCACTTAAGACAGGGTTTCTCAGCCTTGGTCGCAGGACGATGTTTCGCAGCGCCTCCGGCCTCTATCAGCTAGATTCTACTACCAGCCCTTCCTCCCATTCCCCAGGTGTAACAACTGAAATGTCTACAGATATATATATATTTTTTTAATCTGTCAATTTTAACTTCATATATGGTAAATATCAATAGGTATAATTCAGATAAACAAAAAAACTCTTTGTGGTCGCCCATAATTTTTAAGACAGTAAAGGAGTCCTGTGACCAAAGAGTTTGACAACTGCTGGGCTATTTTGTATTTATAGAGTATTTAGAATGTTTATATCACTAAATCTAAAATAATTAAATGAAAGGACCACATAACTGATAATGAAAGAGATATAGAAAAAAGGAGTGGACAAATATGTGCATGGGTAGGTTGGAATTTTTGACAGGAGGGGCTAGGGTATAGCCAGCGAGGACACGGCTGTAGAAACAGAAGGGGCAGTGTGACTTTGAGCAAGTTAGTCTTCTACCTGTGCCTCAGTTTTGTTCTATTGAAACGGCACTGATCACAGTACTTACCTCATAGTAATACTGGGAGAAATACATGAATAAATACATTAAAAAAAAAAACAGGTACAATAGATTTGTCACCTAGATTAAGTGCTCTCTGTGGGTCAGCTATTATTATTTTGATAATAAATAAATAATTTATGTCAAAAGGGATGAGGTCAGGCCTGCAATTAAGGCACACAGGTGTTGTTGACCCTGTCCCCACAGTGGGGTGACTGGAAGCAGGAAAAAAAAAATGCAGTCACTGGCTCCAGAGACAAAACATCGTGGATCCAAGAAAGAAATTAGAATCTCCCAACCCCCTTCATACCCTACATCACACTTTCTAATCCAAAATTCTATCTGTTACCCCTGAGAGGTACATGGACATGTTCCAAGGTTTCAGAAAAAACCATGTGAGTTTGGCTTGGTTTCATGAGTTAGTTCCAGAGTGATGATTTTTCTTGTTCCTGCACTGTGATTAATTTTCCCTTCAGCTCAATTTGGCCTCCAGAAGATCATCAGAATTGTGTGGATTTCAGCGAATACCCTCACAGCCATCTTCACCTATAGAAAGAAGAATGTTTTAAAGAAAGGGCTTGATGATTTTTATAATAAGAAGAATTCTTAATGAAACCAGAGCGACATTTAGATAAGCGAATGAAATGTTTGTGATATGGCGTAAAAAAGTTGCGAAAGAAGAATCTGAATCAAAAGCTGAGGAAGTTACTTGAAATTTGAAGTTACATTCTCAGTAATAAAATGCCACCTCTCCCGTGTCCCAGTTCTCATATCTTTTGCACTCCCTGTGTTGACTAGGGTGAATTTTACTGTAATTATTCTCTATAGTTATCATTCTCTAAGAGAATGTTGGGTTTAGATTCTAATGCCTTGCTAAATTCATGTGTCATCTTCTCTAAGAGATCTGACCTGACCACACTAATTAACACTGACACCATCCCTGGGACTCCTCGTCCTGACCCATCTTTTTCTGAGGCTCTTTTCTCCATCCAACACACTATATATTTTACATATGCATTTTGTTTATTATCTGTTGCCTCATTATCATGGCAGGTATTTTCATCCTTTTTCTTCAATGCTGTGTTCCTGGTTTCTATAACAGTGCCTGGCATATAGTAGGACCCCCATATCCAAGTTTTGGCTTTAAATGGAAAATGAAAAATATCCCTGTGATGCATTTCGAACCATGAATTTACGTATGGCACCTTTACATTAATGAAAGCATCTATGTTGAGAAACCTATATCTATCTATAGCTATAGCTATAGCTATGTCTCAAGAGCATTTAAGTGTCTTTCTGCAACCTGGCAATTGTATGAGACAAATATAAAATGGGCTGTCAAGAACTTGTTCCAATGCTCCTATTTTTCATTCATCTAATATTTTTATCCTTTAGTGAACAACTATCTCTTCAATTAGCTGTTGAGCTGTGTACTCTACTTCTTCAAAATATATGTTCCAGTGTAATTATACATGAATCTTTGAAAATCAAGCTAAGACTAGGGAACTGCAGGACTTAAATGTGTTCTGTAATATTTCTTGTAAAATGTAGATTCTTTTGCAACTCCATACTCTATTTGTCAGGTCATATTTTGACATGGAAGTTTGCTTAAGTCAATAAACCAAGACATACACACTTGGTATAGACTCTACAGGCTCGGTTCTGTGCCAGGCAGATGATTGATGTTTGAGAAGTGGCCCCTTTAGGAGACTTGACGGGTACATGTAACCATTAGAGAATTATAAATGAAAGGAGGGTTGCAGGTCCCTTAAGGCAAAAACCAATTCTCATTTACTTCTGTCATCTAGAGTCTAGCACAGGTGTATTAGAGGCATACAACACCTATTTGGTCACTAAATAAAGGCAAGAGTAAGCAAGTGATCAAGTGCTAAATAAGATTCCTTAAAACAGTCTATAATGCAGTGAAAATTCAGATAGAAGAGGTCACGGGGGACAGTTTCATAGAGGAGATGGAACAGGTTTTGATAGGAATGACATCTTTAAAGAAATTAAGGCTTCAAATGCTAGAACAAAGGATAAAAGGGAATTCCTGGTGAGAATAACTTCAACCTGTACATCTATCACTTAAAAGGATTTTGAGCATCAACTTCTAATATATATATTTATTCATAATTATATATGTTTTCTATTATACTAACATTATAAATAATTTTAAATATATAAAAAGAAGATTTTAAAAGATTAAAAATGAAATAACCCATATTTTAAATTATTTTTATTTATTTGTTAATGATATGTCATTATTTATATTGAGCACACATCTGCATTTCAAATAACCTTCTTGATAATTGAGAACAATTTTTGGATATTTTCTAGTCATATTTGATTAAATTATGTCACCTCCTACTATGGCCAATTAGGAGTTTTGATCGGTATAAGAAAACATGTCTGCTAGTCATTTTCTTATTACTCACTCATGCCTGCATTGTTCATATTGTCATTCATCTTCAGTTTCTTTTAAGTCCCTTGTGAAAGTTTACTTGATTAAAGCTAGGTAATACAATCTACTTGTTTGACCAGGCACGTTAGCTCTGGAACATGTTGATTCTTCAAGTAAACAAATGAGTGAACATGTCTTGGGGGGAGGAGGTAAACTTTGGACACTGGTTTGATAGCTGGCATCGTCTGCCAGATGGGTGGATCGGGGGTACCACTGACCAGGCCTCTGCTGTGCAGACAGAATTAGTGAGTCACAGGCTTGGAGACTTGCCAGAGAAGGACACAAAGTTGGGAAGGGCAGGCATGTGGGGCAGGATTATTAATGATGGTTGAGAGGTTTGGACCTGGCAAATTAGGTTAATAAGACTATTTAGATATTTATAAGAAAGAAGTAACAGAAAAAAGTTTTATTTTTAAAAAAATTTTCTGGAAATGAGAAAAAATATTTAAACCTCAAAGAAGCCAATTTAGAAGCATTATGAATGATATTGTTTAGCTTCAGCTAGCTCTCTAAGTAAACTCCCATAGAATTGGCATCTGTAGGACATGGACTCTTATTTTCCTTTAAAATATAGACCTTTGTTTTTCATTGTTCTTCCTACCCCTAATTTGTTGAGGTGTAATTAACAAGTTAAATTATAAGATATTTAAGGCTTACAATGTGATGATCTGATATGCATATACATTGCAAAAGGATTCCCCCCATTGAGTTAATAAACATATCCATCACCTCACATGTTTTAGCAAACTTCGATTACACAGTACAGTGTTATCAACTATAGTCACCATGTCATACATTAGGTCTTCAGACCATGTCATCTTGTAACTATGTTTGTATCCTTCTACTCTATTTCCACCATCCCCAGCCTCTGGCAACCCCTTTTCTAGTCTCAGTTTGATGAGTGTTTGTTTCAGATTTCACATGAAAGTGAAACCATGCAGTATTTGTCCTTCTCTGTCTGGCTTATCTCACTTAGCGTAATGCCCTCCAGGTTCATCCATGTTATGCAAATGGCAGGATGCCCTTCTTTTTATGGCTGAATAATATTCCAATATAATGTATATACATATATGTATTAGATATTACATCTTCTTTAACCATCCATTTGTAAAGGGACCTTTTCTTATGACTTGGGTGTTGTGAATATTGCTATAAAGAACATAGGAGTGCAGCTATCTCTTCGAGACAATTATTTCATTTTGGGGGGATACAGTCCCAGAAGTGAGATTGCTGGATCATATGGTAGTTCTATTTTTAATTTCTTGGGGAACCGTCACACTGTTTTTCATAGTGGCTGTCCTGCTTTACATTCCCACCAACACTTGTACATGTTCTGCATTGTTCTTGGCAGGAGAGAGCCAGGAGCTGCCTGCCATTCCTGGTGAGTCAGCTGGCCAACATGGAGCACTCATTTCACCATATTCTCCTGCTGGAGATTAAGAGCATCACAGACACATTCTCCTCCATCCTGGGTCCTCAGAGCAGAGACATCTTCCGCATGAGCAACAGCTTCACTGCCATTGCCAAGCTCCTTACCCGACAACTGGAAATGACCAAGCCCAGAACTGGCAGGTAAGCAGGAATTACTGTGGACTCAGGAATCTGTCATGAACCCATGGAGACATAGCACAGATACTACACTTTCTTTTGTAGGCATTAAACTTCCCAAAGAAGGCCAAACAGGCTGTCTCAACCTAGAGTGACTTCTCAATAAATTATGAGACTCACAAGAACTTTTTCTAAATATGGGGTATCTTCAAACACCATCCCTCAAGGGATTCACAGTCAGGGTATGTGACAGGATTTTCATCAAAGTCATAAAAGTGCATACAATGAGTTATGGAACATGGGAGGCATAGTGACCAACAGCCAGCCAATTGAAGAGTGTTTAACAGAGAAGGTGAAATGTAAGTTCATTCCATATTTATTGAGTAATGTTCATGTGCTAAGCATTCAGTTGCACAAGATTAATGAGAGTACCCCAGATAGGAGTAGAAAGGACACTGCAAATAGAAAAGACACGCCTCATGTGCAAGGATAAAAGAGCTTAAGAGTGTGTGTCCCTGAAAAGCAATTTGTTCAATCTGACTGGTTCAAGATTGTCAGTGTAGAGTAGGAGCGTAAGCAGAAAAGTTGGGTCGAAGGCAGATTATCAGAGATCATACAGGCTGTGGCAAGAAGCAAGGAGTTTGTCCCATAAGCAACATGAAAGCTTGAAAAGATTTTAATCCAGGGAATGATCGCAGCTCTTAGCGCAGTAATTATCAGAGTAGGTACTCAAATATTTCCTCACCAAAGGACTAGGTGAATGAGGAAGGGGCTCACATTATGGCTGAGTTTTGACTCAATGGCGCCCAAAGCTTCTGCCAGTTACAGGATAGGCGCAGAAGAATTCTGTCTAATAGCTCCTGCTATCTGCTGTGATGGAACATGTTGAGCTCCTACAAAGAGATCATTACTCTGATATTCAGATAAGATTGAGAATTTGATCTCCTGAGGCTTTATAAACAGCTGAAAAGTACAGAGAGAAAGGGAAGAAACTGTAGTGGTATTTCCACCCAGAGCTCTATGACGCTGATGCTGATAACTAAAAGAAACAGTAGCAAAGGCAAGATGCTGTTAATCTGGTCCTTACTGCGCTTGTACTATTTGGCACGCCCGTCATTAAAAAGTCAATAGAATAGTTTGATCGTGAAGATATTTTCTACAAATTTTTTTTCTTTACTTCTAATGATGTTCTGAGCGTCATCTGATATCTTGAAAAACAAAGCTGAAAATCTTATCAACTTTCTGATGCCTCTATCAGCGATAACGGTTGTGAAGCTCCACGTACTGATCTGTCTACTGCTTTACCCATGCTTAACAGCATCTAACATAAATTATTCTGATCAATAAATAAGATTTCTGAAAGTATATTCCATGCAGATCGTTTAAAGTAAGGCTAATAAACAACAGTCATAAACAATAAAAGGTAGTATCATATACCCATATGACTGCCTGCTGATATGATGATTTGCTGAAATGGTTTGATACTATAAGAAAAACATTAAAGTAATAATAATTAAAAAAATCAGAAAAAAGCCTTTAGTAATTTATTTAGGTGGAGTGCTCAGGCTGGAGTTTGGGGTGCTTTTTTTCGTCCACAGCCGGCCTGCTATTTCTTGTTCCAGTGATGACTGACACATGCATCTGATGTGAAAGCTAGGCACATGTTCTGGCCAGCCATTAATCCATTCTCTGTTGCCTGTACAAATGCAAAGTTGCAAGGGGCCAACTGACATCTGTGAGAGTATATGTGTGAAAAGGTTTATATAAAGGGAAAACATGTTATGCAAGCGTATTACATTAGGCACTCTATCAGGAAAATTGACCCTTAATAAGCAAGCCCAATCCAAAAAGCAATAGATAATTTCCCCATGAAAAGAAGGATTTAGGAGGTGTATAGACAGGAGGGGAAAAAATAAGATCTCATTATCAAAATATGAGTCTTCATGTTTGAGAATGCAGTTAAGTTTCTCCTCAATTTTTTTTTTTTTTGAGGAAAATTAAGTGTGAAGAGATGAAAGGTCACCAGTCACCTCATGTACTACCACCGCTGCCATTGCCACCACCTCAACCTCTTTAAATCAAAATACTTTACCCAGTCAATCTCCCCGTCAATCTCCTTCTAATCGATTACAATTATTCGGTGGGAACTTCAAAATGCTGGTGCGGACAGCCAGCCTTTTGTATTGACTGCTCATCTTCTCTGGAGTGGTTGCTAAGGCTTCTCTCCCAGCATCTTTTCCCTGAATAGCCTTCATTGTGACTATTTAGCTTCAGTAATTTTAATCCATGTCTCTCAATGCAGAAAGGTCAACACTTTTGTCTAAAGCATCCAGCAAAGTCTGATCCTTACAATTGGAGGGGAAATAAATAAGTGAAGAGAGCTTGAAAGAAAATTAAAGATGATAAAATTCAAAACAGATGTCATCTAATTTACAAATCTGACACACAGCCCAGCAGGCCAGATTTTAGACTTCAGGCCAAAACTGCAAGATTATCAAAAGAAAAACAATTAGCATCCTAGAGAGAAGGAAAAACTGAAGCAGATAGGAGCTTCTTTGTGCAAAGTGACTAAATTAACTGGGTGAGCTTTATTAAATGCATCAGGTAAGCACACTTTCACCTTTCTTGTTCCTACTTTGTGTGGAGGGGAGCGGATATTATTATATCTAAATAATAAACCAGCAGAGGCCGAAGAACAGGAGAGCCAAGCAAAGCATTTAGATTTTCAAATTAATTCTGGAGAAGCAGAAGGGGAATAATAGCAATTGTGGATTGATTAAAAAAAAAAAAAAAACGGGGGGAGGATAAACTAGGGGAAAAGGCCAGTACTGTTTAAGACTGTGTGAGCCTTCAGTAGTCTTCTGGGCAGCCACTATCCATTGAACCATTTGCCTGCCAGGAGCCAGGGGAGGCTGGGGAAGAAGAAGGTGACTTCTGACAACTGTATGCTGGCTGAGCATCCACTGATCAGAGTCTAGAAGGTACCTTTGCCAAATGCATGTGGCGCCAGGGAGGCTGCTCTAATCAGGCATCATCGGAGTTGGGGACAGTTTGTTATAGGTGGTCTTAGTAGGAGGTGTGGCTCAGGCCCCAGTTAGGGATGGAAACTTTGAGGGATGGAAATTGTGGAAAGAAGGCAGGGGTGGGAAGCAAATAGGAGAAATGAGAAATGGTAGGGAGAAAGGATGGCAATAGGAAAAGGTACAAGGGGAAAGCAGAGAGAAAACAGGAAGAGTCCCTGCACCGCCCCAAGTCCCAGGCCATGGTGGGGACTTGAGAAGCAAGGTGACAGTTCCCTCAGATCCAGCTTTCACACCCTAGGCAAAGCCATCAAAGTCATGAAGGAAAAAATTGCTTATAAGAAAAGCTTTAACACAAAGTGTGTGATGAAAACTTTCCCAAACCTCTGGTTCAGTTAAATGAGTGGTATTTTTTTTGTTGTTGTTGTTTTGGTGGTGATGGTGGTGGTAGTGGTGAGATTTTGTGTTTATTTTTTGTTTTTAAGAATCAGGCCTTGGGGGGGAGGAGAATGAAAAGTAAATTATAGTCAAAATCAGTTGGGTAGGGTAAATCTGATTTTGGTATACATGGAAAGAGATGACAGATGGAGGGAAAGAAATAAAACTTTGTGTGGGAGAGAATGAATGGAAAACAGAATAAGGAGATCATGTTCACAGGAGAATGGCTCCAGGAAATCTGCCCGCCTTGGAGTAGCCCCAGTTTTGGTTTATCCTAAGTTTCATGCAATGAACATCAAAGAAATGGACAGCAAGGGAGAGCCAGGGATCTGAGGCAGTGTATGGCCCTATAGACAAGCAATTTGGCCTGCAAAGAGCTTTTGCAAGCTGTGAGACCCTTTGCGACCTGTCATGCCAGAGATCCCATCTTGACATCCTGGGAGTCACATCAGACCCTAACTCCGGGTCATACACAGTCTCCAGTTGCATTGCCCAAGAGCTTGAGAATGATTCCTCTGTACTGAGTCCACAGCAGAAGTTGCAGAGAGCAGGGAGTGGGGAGGGGAGTGAGAGTCAAGTTTTTCTCTATAATTTTGCAAGAAAGACTGTGTCTGTAGGTCTGATCAAGTCTTTTTAAAATAAGATTTTATTTATTTATTTTTATTTATTTATTTTTACAGAGCAGGGAAGGGAGGGAGAAAGAGAAAGGGAGAGACAACCACGCGAGAGAGCAACATCTATAGGTTGCCTCCCAAATGCACCCCAACCGGGGGCTGGACCCACAACCCAGGCATGTGCCCTGGCTGGGAATCAAACCGCCAACCTTTTGCTTTGCATGAGGATGCCCAACGCACTGAGCCAGGTTGATCAGGGCTGATCAAGCTTTTAACTACCTCCCACCACATGACAGATTCCTTGCCGGGGTCATTTACTGTTACTTGGTTTAATCCTCACAGCAAGAAAGTCTTTAAATATATGTGAGGATTACAGAGGCATAATGGAGTAAACCTTGAGGACAGGCAAAAACAAAATAAAATTCTCTACCCAATTCCTCCTCCCCTCTAGGTCCATGATAGTTCTTAGCAGGCAATAGTGTAAATGCCCGGATACCAGCTCTTGGAGTTTCCCTTCATTTCTTCCTTCAGTGTAGCGCCATGGATCCCAAATTTCAGTGTGGATGAGATTTACAGTGGTCACAGTACATCACGGATAATTCAAAGGAACTTCAAAGGGATGTTAAGGGTGATTTTTGCCTTTTCCTTCCAAAAGTGGTACCCCACTAACCTTTATTACTACCTTTTATAATACCCTTCTCCTGCCTCTCTTACCATTGAAGACTGCCCTTCTCCAAGACTCCAGTTTGGTACCACTTGCCCATGAGGTCTTCCGCACTCCTCCCTGCCCATGGAGACCTTCCGTCCTCAGCTGACTGCAGCTCCAACTGCTCCTCCGCTCGTCCACACTCACAGCCCTGCCTTGAGCATTAGATATCTTTCCTGTGCCCCTCCAATGTCCCCCAGGCTTGAAGGAGCTAAGATGCAGAACATTTGCTCAATGGAAAGAAAA